GGGACACGAACCGCGGTCGACTACATGGGAGTCCAGCGACATAGCCATTACGCTAACTGCTGGTTCCCCCGGTGGCTTAAACTTTTGCTGGGTGCGTGTGTGTGCATACCCAAGATCTCAAGAGGAGAATGGAGAAGGGATTGTGGTGTGGCCATCCCCCCGGGGAGTGATTTCTCTCTGTCTCTCTCTCTCTCTGGTAAGCACACATGCCCTAAAACAAAAATCTCTTTTTTAAAAAAAGCAAATTAAAAAAAAAAAAAACCTATAAAGCATCTAGGTTTGTTTTTCTTTTTAGAGAAAACTTTTTGCTATAGGGTGCAGGTGCTCACCAGAGAGAGACAGAGAGACAGAAAGCAAGAAATCACCCCTAGGGAACCAGCAGTTAGTGTAATGGCTATGTCGCTGGACGGACTCCCATGTAGTCGACCACAGTTCGAGTCCCAGACCTAGTGGCTTAAACTCACGCTGGGCATGCATGTCCAAGTTCCCGAGAGGAGAATGGAGGAAAGGGATTATGGCATGGCCATCCCCTACTGGGGGTGATTTCTCGCTTTCTGTCTCTATGTCTCTCTCTGTCTGTCTGGCGAGCGCACGCACCCTATAGCAAAAACCTCTAAAAAAAGAAAAAAAGAAATCACCCCCAGGGGGAATGACCACACTGCAATCCCTTCTCTTCCACTCTTTAGGATCATGGGCATGCACACACCTAGCGTGAGTTTCAAGCTACTGGGATCAGGACTCAAACTATGGTCAACTATGTGGGAGTCCGGCGATGTAACTATTAAGCCATCTACTGGTCCCCAAACATCTAGGAATATATCCTACAAAAGGTGTGTTAGAGCTTTACAGAGGATTGTATATTTACATATATAATTACATGCATACCTAAATACATATAAATTTACACACACACACACACACACACCTCGTGCATTTTTCTAACCACCAGAGCTGGGTCTTGAACCTTAGTTAGCCACATGGAATCTTGCTCCCAATACACAGCACCCAACCTCCACACTATAGTCAGACCAATGGTATACTTTTTTTTTTTTAAGAGTGATGTTGCTATAAGGTGTGCTCACTGGAGATACAGAGAGAAACAGAGATACAGAAAACAAGAAATCATCCCCCAGGGAAGATGACCACACTGCAATCCTTTCTCCTCCATTCTGCTCTAGGGATTTGGGACATGCATGCATTCATGCTCGGCATGAGTTTCAAGCTGCCAGCTCCAGGACTTGAACCGTGGTCTGCCATGTGGGAGTCCAGTGCTTTAACCATTATGCCTTCTATTTTTAATGTGCTGAATTTTCATTATGAGTCCATGTTTAACTTGGTCAAATGATTTTTCTGCGTTTTTGAAAGGATCGTATGATTTTCTCTTTTATCAGTTAATTGGCAAATCACAGTGACAGATTTCCTCACATTAAACTATCCCTCTGGGAGTAAAGGGAAAATTAACTCCAGGCCTGGGCTGATGCAATCCTGCCTGACACTGACCTCGGTCTGTTTCTTTGGAAACTGCGGTGTTCGTTGAGTGGACCTGCGCGTGGGTTCGAGGCCTGTTCAGTGGGCACACAGGCTGTGGGCTCACGACTAGCGCGGGAGCAAATGCTGGAAATAGGGGCTGCAGCTTCTGTGCGTCCAGGAGACCCCCACACTGGCTGTTCCGCGGCAGCTGAGCATGCCCCGTGGGTGAGTGACCACAGCACCTATGTACTTGGGGGGCCGCTGGGCCCCCAGCGATGGAGCTGCTGCGTCTGCCATACCTCCGGTCTCGGCTCTAGGTTACAGATTGCTTGTGTCTCCTGAGTCTCGTGGGCCACCTTGAACTCAATCAACTGCTTACGGCACCTCCATTCCGATGGTCACGGGGTATATACGTGTGTGTGTGTGTGTGTGTGCATACATACGCAGAGAGAGAGAGATTATTAATAATGCAGAATGTTTACACACACACATGACAGAGAGACTCTCAACCGGGTCTCGTCACCCTCTTCTTCTGGCCTTCTAGCTGGTCAGGATCTTGGGTAGCAGGCATGTTCCAGGTTGACCAGGGATCTGAACCCATGGTTAGCCATGTGGCTTCCATGTGGAAGTGGCACCCTGTGCCCACTGAGGTGGAGCTGACATAGATATATAGTTAACTTCTGTAATTTTTTTAAGAGGAATTTTTGTTATGGGAATGTGCATTTGCTGGAGAGAGACAGAAAGCAAGAAATCACCCCTCAAGAGAGTTGGCCAGGCCACAGTCCCTTCTTCAGTCTCCTCTTGGGATTTCAGGCACCCACGCACACAAGCCTGGTGTGAGTTTCAGGCCCCCGGGTTTGAGACTCGCTCCACAGCAGACCACGGGGGAGTCCAGCTACATAACCACGGCATAATCAGCTCCTGGTCCCAAGATACATTATCTTTAAATACGCTGCCAGACGCTGCCAGACGCTGCCAGACTCTATTGGCCAGCTTTTTATTTGGGGTGTTTGAAAGAATATTTATATATTTCGCAAATATATTCATATTTTTCTTATATTGTCCAGAATTGGGTGATGTCAGTTACCTAGATTCATAATCCTTATCTGCAATTCCAAAATCCAACAAGTTCTTAAAACGAGCAGCCGCGGGCATGGTGGCGCCCGCCCTAGGGCAAAACTAGGAGCAGGTTTTATTTGGGGGGGGGGTGTAAATTAAGGGCAAAATCATTTGGCAGCAAAGCTTGTCTGAACGGATGCAATGCTGATTATAGCTTTTATCAATAACCATGTATGCTTCACCACAGAAATATTTGATTACGAAGAGCTGGTCTAGACTGAGGGTATTATATAACATACATACTGTATTATCTATTTAAATCCCTCAAATCACAAAAGTCTAAAATGAAGAACTGTAGATCTGTTGTAGCATAATAAAATGAATTGGGGTGCAGTAGGTAGCATGGTGGTTAAGGCACTGGACTCCTACATGGCCAACTGTGGTTCGAGTCCCCGACCTGGAGGCTTGCTTTCTCACTTTCTCTCTCTCTCTCGCAGGTGCCCTGTAGCAAACTGAAAAAATAATAAGAATGATACATAACGTTAAATAAGTATTTTTTTAAATGGATTGGGCAGGGTTCCCCTATTTTTTGTTTGGTTGGTTATTTGATGTAGACAGGTATCATTTCTTCCTTTAAAGTGTGAGAAAATTGTTTGTAAAGCCATGTGGGCTTCACACACGTATGTGTGTGTGTGGGTGTGTGTCAGTGTGTTGTTATCGTCGTAAGTAAGTGTGGAATATCGAATTTACTTTTCATGGGAATGGGCTCTCTGGCACCTCTCTGCTTACAAGTACCCCCCGGACCAGCCCGTCCTAGTTCTTTGAGGAAGCCTGATCTCGCAGCTCAGAGGGGTCAGAGCCACTGCAGACCAGTTGTTAGCAGGCTGTTCGAATTGCAGAAACTACTGGCTTTTTGACTAGATAGTTGGGGAAGGAAAAGGCTTTCCAGGATTGTATTAAGTTATGGAGTTAGTATTTCAATTCTACCACTAGGGGGCAGTCGTAGATTATAAATTTGTCTGCACAGATTTATCTAGACTAGATTAAACCTAGTGCCCTTTTAGGTATATGTTATTTTTCTCATTTTCTCAGGAAGCTGATCCTTAGCAAAAAAACTGTAACTTGTTTAGATCGTGCAAATTATAAGTAGCAAAAGGGAGATCTGAGATTTAACCTACTTGCCACCAAAGTCCATAGTTGTTTTTTCTTAAGAATTATTTATTTAATTTTTGTTTATTATGATCATTATTATTACTGTGCTCTAGGATGCATGTACTCACCAGAGAGACAGAGAAAGAAAGAGTGAGGGCAAGTGAAAAACTAAGCCACCAGGTCATGGACTCCAGCTGTGGTCGGCCATGCGGGAATCCACTGCCTTAACACCACACCACCTATTGGCCCTTAAAGCCCACAGTTTTAACTCTACACAGAGTCGCTCCTCTGGATTCCCTCCCGTAAGGAAGCAGGATAGCAAAGTCGTTAAATTCACAACCTCATTGACCTGGATGGGTACCTGCAGTGCAGAATGCCATCAGAAAGCCATTCGCATACAAAATAAATTACCAACCACACCTGCCAAGTCTGGCTCCATAACTTGCCACACATTACTTTGTGAGACAAAAGGAAACTTTCTTAATTACTCTGTGGCAATTAATTCTTCTTCTGTAAACAAAACAAAACACTAAGATGATAAATATTTGCTAAGACTTGTCAAGTGCTGACAGACTTGCCCTCTGCACCGCTCCAGCTGGAGTGAGCAATCAAGGGGCCAGCTGGTGGCCTGGTGGTTAAGGTGGCTGGATCCCACATGGCCAACTATGTGGTTCGAATCCCAGACCCACCAGCTTGAGAAACATGCCAGGTGCATGTGCGTGACCAACATTTCAAAAAGAGAAATAGAGGAGAGGGGATTGTAGCATGGCTGTCCCTCACAGGGGTGCTTTCTCTCTCTCTCTCTCTCTCTCTCTCTCTCTCAGAGCACACATACCCTGTAGCAAAGTAAAAACAAACAAACAAACAACAACAACAAAAAGCCAGGGCCCCAGAAGAAGAAATCGAAGCAACTCAGTTTCTTGGAAAACTGGTCAGAATTAGACAAACACAAACACAAAGCCAGACTGATGAGGAACGGATGACATTTGTGATCCTCACCCCAGCTATTTATTTGGACTCACTGAGTTAATAAAGTTCTAAAACAACTACAAATGAAATCGGGACTCAACTCCACTACAGCCAAACAATCCTGAGAGGACAAGCTGAAAATTGATTGAACCAGCCAGTCACCTCTCCCGCGACACTGGGGCTTTTGCATTTAGAAACCCACCCTTGTCTTTGGATTAGGGATCACTTTTTTTTTTTTTTTTTTAATCTGCTATAGAGTGTGTGCTCTTGCCAGAGAGAGACAGACAAAGAGGCAAAGTGAGAAGGCACCTCTAAGAGGCCACACCACAATCCCTTCTCCATTCTTCATTCTCCTCTTAGGATTTTGGGCATGCATGCACCTGCACCTGGTATATTTTTTAAGCCTCTGGGTCTGGGACTAGACCTGCTCAATTGGCTACCACTGGCTGGCCTGGGAATCAATCTTTGTGGGGCCGGGTCTCCCTTGCATATCACTTACCTGAGAGGAAGCCTTCAGTGCGATGTTAATGTTAATCTTTAAGTACAGCCTGAGGCCTAGAGCCCAAGGCCCGCCCTCTGCCCTGCATCAGGTTTCCTGGCCTGACCCAGCAGGTGCCTTCAGTTTAACACTCCCCACATCTTGGAGTTTATTCTTCCTTCATTGGAGAGAATAGCTCCCACCCCAATAAGATCATCTTGAGGGTGAGGTGAAATGAGTCATCTGGGGCCCCAGAACAAAGCCCAAGGCGGCAAGAGCTCACTAAATCCTTCCGTTACTCATTCTGCAGATGTTTCATCGACTGCTGTGTCAGACACAAGTCTCCGTCCAAGGAATAGGTGAGTGTATCAGGAAGGGTCTGATCAGGAGGCCGGACACTGCTTGGATGCTGCTGGTGTCTGTGAACCTGGCCCTAGGGGACGCAGGGGACCCAGGCCTCTTGAGGACAAGGCTCTCCTGGGTGGCTGGTGCTGGTGTCCACGCTGAAGACGAGCACATTGGAACTGATCCTCCAAGTGGTGGGAACTGTAAACTGATCACATCATTGCCAGGGACTGGCATAGAAGCCACGCTGGAGTGATGCTCCCTGAAAAGGCAGCCACCGGGAACCAGCAGTTGGCATAATGGCTATGTCGCTGGACTCCCACGTAGTCGACCACGGTTCGTGTCCCGGACCCGATGGCTTAAAACTCACGCCGGGCGCTTGTGCGTGCATGCCCAAGATCCCGAGAGGAGAATGGAGGAGAAGGGATTGCGGCGTGACCATCCCCCCTGGGGGGTGATTTCTCGCTTTCTGTCTCTATGTCTCTGTCTGTCTGTCTGGCGAGCGCACGCGCCCTACAGTGAAAATCTCTCAAAAAAAAAAAAAAAGGGGGCAGCCACCGGAGTGCCCGGAGTTCACGGGAATCGACAAGGGAATTTCTTTCTTTCTTTCTTTCTTTTTTTTTTTCCTTTCCCTAGAATCAGGCTGAACTGGGTTTGCATGTTGGCCTTGTCATTTATTATCTTGTAATCTTTTTTTCCTTAGAATTATTTATTTAATTTTATTTATCATTATTATTATTTTTAATTTTGCTAAAGGGCATATGTACTCACCAGAGAGAGACAGAGAAAAAGAGAGAGAGGGAAAGTGAGAAAGCAATCCTCCAGGCCCGGGACTCAAACTGTTGTCAACCACATGGGAGTCTAGCACTTTAACTACCATACCACCTGCTGGCCCTAAGAAGGGAGCTGCTGCTTCTGCCAGTCCTTGCCTGCTCTCTCCCTGTGTAGTAGTCATGGCTTTGTATTGTCTTTTGTTTGCTGCTTTGACATCTTGGGGCCTTACCTACCTGGTAAGATTGGCCCTCTGGAAGCCAGCCCATTCCTCCTGGTGGTTAAACACACACTCTGGAGCTCGCCTTTCACGTGGGCAACGGCCAGTGTGAGCCGTGAATTAGCACAGGCCGGGTACCAGGCCGCTAAAGACAACCGAGTGCTCAGGTTCTGCTGCGGTGATTCAGACAGGCCAGTCCTAACCCTGGGTACCTGCCTCGCCTGTTCATTCCCGTGCAACTCGGAGAAAGACAATGATTCAGACGGGCCAGTCCTAACCCTGGGTACCTGCCTTAGCCTGTTCATTCCCGTGCAACTCGGAGACAGACGTGGCTGCCAGTCTCCGTCCTCCCCTGCCCCACCACACCTCACCATGGCTGGCAGGCTTCCTGTTTCGAGGGAACCATGAGTAAACTTCTTCCTTCATGACAGTCATTTCCACTGTGTGTGCCTTCCTCTATCTGATTAAAAAAACAGGGCCAAGGGGCTTAAAACAGCTTGTCACTGGGCTAGCAGATGGCGTGGTGGTTAAGAGGCTGGACTCGCGTGTGGCAACTCCGTGGTATAAGACTCGGGAGGCACCTTCTCAAGAGACAAAAGAAAGCTTATTGAAAAGGAGCACCTGGGGTCTGAAGGTGGAGGTGCTTGGCCACCCTACTGTGGTGACAGGGGGTCTGAAGGTGGAGGTGCTTAGCCACCCTACTGCAGAGACACGATGTATTCATATGGGAGCTGGAGGGTAGGCCCCAAGAGTGGTGGGTCATTGACCGGCTTACTTGCTACTGTGACCTTATCAGCCCATCCACGAGTCTTGGCTGCCAGGGGTGGGGGGGCTATGGCTGGAGGATTCTGGCCAAAGATCGCTGCAACCATCTCCTTATTTTCTGACAGGAAATTACCTAAAGACCATTCAGGTGCTGATTTAACACATGGTTTGAGTCCCAGACCCAGTTGCTTGAAAAACACTCCAGACACGTTTGCATGTGTGCCCCAAATCCAGAGAGAATGGAGGAGAAGGAATTGCGGCATGGCCATCCTCCCTCAGGAGTGATTTCTTTCTCTCTCTCTTCTCTGTCTCTCTCTCCTCTCTCCTCTCTCTCTCTCTCCCTCGCAAGTACATGTGCCCTACAGTAAAAGTTAAATAAAAACCCACCCTGAAGCATCCTGTTGACTGAACCAAATAAGGAGGCAGCTAGCAAGGCAGAAAACGTGTTTCCGGAGCCGCAGCCCGGCTCCACAGAGGCAGCAGCTCGTCACCTTCACCGCGAGCAAGTTAGGTGAGGTCTATCAAGGGACCTTGTAACCCGGGACATAGCGTTCGTGACGGGGATGGCACAGAACAGAACACTGTGCCTTTGAGGCTGCCACACAGGGAAGCCCAGCAGAAGGGGACTAGGGGTGCTGAGGCCAAAGGAGGGTCTGCAATTGACATATATAGATTTTATTATTAATAGAATTATTTAATTTTCTTTATTGTTATTATTATTTTAATTTGCTACAGGACACACATGCTCACCAAAGAGACAGAGAGCGCAAAAGAGAGAGAAACCAAGTCGCCGTGTCTGGAACTCGAATTGCATTCAGCCATGTGGGAGTCCAGCGCCTTAACCACCATGCCACCTGCTGGCACCAGGGGGATTGCAACTTAAAACGGGGCTGTGGGAGACAGAGATACTGTTGTGACATCCAGTGAAATCCAAAGGAAGGAAGGGAGCCAGCTGTGCAGGTCTCTTGGAGCTGAGCAGGTAGCTGGGCACAGAGCCTGCGAGCAGAGAGAGGAGTAAGGACCACGGCCCTGGGATGGGACAGTGCTGCCTCCAATACCCGCAAAGGGGCCCTGGGATGTTAACGTTACGAACAGCTTGGCTGAGCTGCGGTGCCCAGCTGTCTAGCTGTTGCCATGAAGATACTTTTTTGGATGTGATAGACATTTATTTTATTTTAGGTTAAAAATAACTTTAATAAAGATTTTGACATGTCATATATTTAATGGAAACCAATTAAGAGGGTATGTAAACAGTCTAATTTATAAAATTTTATCTTTTTTTTTTTTTTTGGAGAGGTTTTTGCTATAGGGTGCATGTGCTTGCAGGAAAGACAGAGACAGAGAGGCAGAAAGTGAGAAATCACCCCCCAGGGGGGATGGCCACACTGCAATCCCTTCTCCTCCATTCTCCTCTCAGGATTTTGGCGTGACTTTAAACTGCCGGGTCTGGGACATGAACCATGGTCAACTATGTGGTTGACTACGACAACATAACCATTATGCTATCTGCTGGTCTCCCAATTATTTTTAAGATAGATTTTTTTTTTAAGAGTTACTCATTTAATTTTATTTATCCATTCATTTATTTTAATTTGACCAGAGGGAGACACACAGAGAGAGAAGGAAAGTGAGAAAGCAGGCCACCAGGTCTGGGATTTGAACCATGGTCAGCCATGTGGGAATATCTAGCACCTTAATTACTATGTCACCTGCTGGTTCCCCACCCCAAAATTTTATCTTTCTGATCATATACTTTTTCTTCAGGATCTGTACATATTCTTCTGATGTCCCTAAAGTAGACCTTTAGTTTGATTTGACTCATCAGTAGATCTTCGAGGGACCAGCAGATGGCGTAATGGTTATGTCACTGGGCTCTCACAGAGTTGACTGTGGGTTGAGTCCCAGACCCGGTAGCTTAAACTGCACACTGGGTGCATGTGCGTGCATGTCCAAACTATCTGCTGGTCTCCCAATTATTTTTAAGATAGATTTTTTTTTAAGAGTTACTCATTTAATTTTATTTATCCATTCATTTATTTTAATTTGACCAGAGGGAGACACACAGAGAGAGAAGGAAAGTGAGAAAGCAGGCCACCAGGTCTGGGATTTGAACCATGGTCAGCCATGTGGGAATATCTAGCACCTTAATTACTATGTCACCTGCTGGTTCCCCACCCCAAAATTTTATCTTTCTGATCATATACTTTTTCTTCAGGATCTGTACATATTCTTCTGATGTCCCTAAAGTAGACCTTTAGTTTGATTTGACTCATCAGTAGATCTTCGAGGGACCAGCAGATGGCGTAATGGTTATGTCACTGGGCTCTCACAGAGTTGACTGTGGGTTGAGTCCCAGACCCGGTAGCTTAAACTGCACACTGGGTGCATGTGCGTGCATGTCCAAAGTCCTGAGAGGAGAATAAAGGAGAAAGGATTGTGGCGTGGCCATCTCCCAGGGGCGTGATTTCTCGCTTTCTGTTTCTCTGTCTGTCTCTCCAGTGAGCACATACACCATATAGCAAAAATCTCTCTTTAAAAAAAAAATTAAATAAATAAATAAGTAGATCTCCAAAAAGCTCTACAGGATCCGGACACAAATTCGGTAGCAGCTTTTCTTTGTTCTCTGCTTAGACTTTTTTCCGACCCTTGCTGCATCCTTGCTCAAATAGAGCTCGATGCTGTTATTCAAAGGCCGTGAGACTGAGGCTGGCATTGTCCCTGAGGTTTCTCTTGAAATAAGATTTCTGTTGTGCACTGAACTATTGGGTTTCCAACATGAGGTGCCTCTCCGACTGGTCTTGTGGTAAAGATCTCTTCTGCTGTCTCTCCACAAGAAGTTTGGCATGGGACCAGCAATGGCGTAATGGCTATGTCACTGGACTCCCAAGTAGTAGACTGCGGTTCGAGTCCTGGACCTGGTGGCTTAAACTCACACCGAGCACATATGCGTGTGTGCCCAAGATCCTGAGAGAAAATGGAGAAGAAAGGATTGCGACATTGCCAGCCCTCCTGGGGGATGACTTCTCACTTTCTGTCTCTCTGTCTCTCTGCCTTTCTGGTGAGCGCACGCACCCTCTAGCAAAAGCCTCTAAAAACAACAACAACAACAGCAAAAACAACTTGGCACTGACTTCTGCTAACTTCTCAGTAGTCTTGTTCAGTTTATCTGATAATGAGTTTCTAATTTGTGATTCTCTTAGGGAGAGTTCTTACATTTTTCCAATTCTGTTTTATTAGAATCTTCTTGAGAAGCTCTTATTTTGAAGAGTTTGGATTCCCGATCTTTAATTCCGAGTTCCAGCTGACTTCTTATCAAAGCATAATTACTCTCTTTTTAACTGCTCTAAGTTTTCTTTACAATTTTTTAAAATAAAATGATTATTTAACTTTATTTATTGTTATTATTTTTTAATTTAACGAGCGAGATAGAAAGAGCAGGAGAGTGAGAAAGTAAGCTGCCAGGGACTTGAACTGTAGTCGGCCATGTGAGAGTTCAGCACCTTAGCCACCATGCCACCTGTTGATCCCTGCTCTACGTTTTCTTGCGCTGCTGCTTCTGCTTCTTCTAATTCTTCTACTGTATCCTGTCTTGCTCTTCCTTCAATCTCCCGTTTATGCTGTTCTACCTGACCATGTCCTACCGAATTTATTTCCCTATGACTTTTGAGGTTTACTACTTCTTGTTCCAACTTCAGTTCTCTTCTTCAGTTTTACACATTCCTTATGCATTGTTTTGAAAGATGATGAGTCCTGTTAAAGTTTTGCTGTAAGATCATCAATCTTGGGGCCAGCAGGTGGCATGGTGGTTGAGGTGGCGGTTCAAGTCCCAAACCTGGTGGCTTTCTCACTTTCCTCTCTCTCTTTGTCTTCCTGGTGAGTGTATGTGCCTTACTGCAAAATTTAAAATAATAATAAATAAAATTAAATAAATAATACTTTTAAAAAAATCAGTCTTACATTTTAGCATATTAAGTTGATTATCCATTTCAAATCTACTGGTCTTTAAATCTTCTTGGGGACGAATTTCTTTATTTTCATCGTTTAACTTCTTTCTTATTGTTTCCAAGAGCTTCTTAAGCGCAGCTATCTCTTTCTCTAATTCACCATGTTTCTTTATTTCTTGATCCAAATTGTATTCCAGAGATTGTTTTAACTCTTCTTTTAACTGTTCCTTTTTCTCCTCAGCAGAACTTGTCCTGAACTGGTTTTTCTGAAGCTCTTCAGTTTTGCTTGCTTGCTTTTGGATCGTAACTTTGAATGTGGAATTTTTATTTTCAAGCTTTTGCATGCGATCTTGCATCTTCTCAGCACATGTTACAACCTCTACGTGTTGATTCTGTGCTGCTTGCAACTCACCGGTGGCTCAGGAACTCAGGGCTGCAGGGGTGATTGGGCCCAGCGCTTCCAGTGAGACACGGGTTCCTGTCCCACACTCAAGAAGAATTAGAGATGCAGACACAGAGTAGCAAAGGGGGGAGTTTATTGAAGGAGAGGGGAGGAAAACCAGCTCCCAAGAAGGGAGAGGTTCTGGAAAATGAGTTGCCAGTGACTGACATTTAAATCAGTAGACTTTCAACAAAGCAGACTTTGGTCTCTAACGGGGTGGGTCCTGCCCAATCAGTTGAAGGCCTTCAGTGCAAAGACTAGGGGCCTCTGAGAAAGAAGGAATTCTGCCTGCAAATGCAGCATAGCAATGCCACGTGAGTTCCCAGCCCTTGTGTTCAGGACTTCAGCGTCAGCACTTGCTGAGTTTCCAGCCTGCCCTGCAGATTTTAGACTTTCTCATCCCTAAATCATGTGAGTTAATCCTTAAAATAAATCTCTTTCTCTGTATATACATCCTAGCGGTTCTGTTCCTCTGGAGTAACCTGGCTAACACAGCCTGGGTGGCAGAGAGAATGAAGGATGGGGCCCAAAGCGAGGTGGGGGGGTGGGGAGCCAACGGTGCAGGGCCTTACAGCCATCCGAGGGCGTTGGCTTTTACATGGCCTGGGAAGTCATTGGAGGGTTCTGAGCAAAAGGGGGACTTCATTGAACTGAAGTGTTTCAGGGGCCAGCAGATGGCTTAATGGTTACGTCACTGGACTCTCATGTTGTTAACTGTGGTTCAAGTCTCGGATCTGGCAATTTGAAACTCATGCCAGGCATAGGTGTGTGCATGCCCAAAATCTCAAGGAGAAAATGAAAGAGAGGGGATTTTGACATGGCCATCCCACCTGGAGGGTGACTTCTTGCTTTCTGTCTCTCTCTCTCTGTTTCTCCGGTGAGCGCACACACCCTATAGCAAAAATCTCTCTTAAAAAAAGTGTTTCAACTCCCATTGGCTGCTGTGAGGAGAGTGGGCTGCAGGGCCTGGGCCAAGTAAGGAGCCCAGTGAGGAAGCCCCTGCAGGGGTTCAGAGGAGGAATGGAGGCAGGGCTGGGCTCGAGCTGGAGGAGTGCTGCTGGCGAGGAGTGGACGGGAGCCTCTGGGACATCTGGCTGTTGGATGTGCCATCTGACCCACAGGGGCCTGGGCTGGACATGGAAATTTGGAGCTTTGAACTGGGCCTGGCCTATGACCACACAGAGAGGCCCGTGTCCCTTCCCCAGCACCCCTGGCTTCTGTGTGGAGGACAGACTGTGTTGTAAAAAGAGTAGAGAATGGCAAACCAACTCTAAGGGATTGCTGTGAACCAGGCAAGGGGTGATGGTAGTTGGAACCAGAGAAATGGAAACAGAGATGCAGATTAATGGATTGATTTTTTTCTTAGGGAGATTTTTGCTACTGGAAACGTGCATTTTTTTTTGTTTGTTTGTTTGTTTGCTTTTTAATATATATATTTTTAATTTATGAATGTTTTAATTGTCAAAGAAGGCTTTAATATATATTTTTAAATTTATGAATGTTTTAATTGTCAAAGAAGGCATGTGCAAGAGAGAGAGAAAGCATCCCCCAATGAGGAATGGTCACATTGCAATGCTTTTCCCTCCATTTCTCCCTGCTGTCAGGATTTCGAGCAGACATGTTTTTCAAGCTGCCATGGCCGAGATTCGAACAGAAGCTGGCCATGTAGGTTCCAGGTCCCTATGCGTGTTGCTTAACTGTTGTACTACAGAGCAGGCTTGTTTCGTTTTTTAAGATGAAAGCTACAGGGACCAGCAGGTGGTGTGGTGGTTAAGGCGCTGGACATTCCCTTATGGCCAACCATGGTTCAAGTCCTGGCCCTGGTGGCTTACTTTCTCTCTCTCTCTGTGACTCTCTGGTCAAAATAAAATAAGTGAACAAGTAAATAAAATTAAAAATATTTTAAAGAAAGATGAAAGCTACAAGAACATGCTTACACCCTTATGGAAGGATTCAGCAGAGAAAGATGAGATGAGGCAGAAAGCAGAGGACAGACTCTGAGCAGGGAGAGCATGAGAACAAGGGCAGAAGTGGACTGCTTTTAGGTAGGAAACGAGCACGTCTCCATTGTCACGGGGCAGGACAGATGCGTCGAAACATGCGTGGCTGTAGATTTGGTGACAGGAAGGCAGTAGAGTCCCTCGCCTTTTTCCAACAGAAATTCAGTAAAATGAGTTGTGGCCATTAGCTGTGGCCATCAGTCAGAAAAAGGCATGTGAGATAGTCCAGATTCCGTCAGACACATGTTAGGTAATAGGAGCTACAAGGCCAGCAGGCGGCATGGTGGTTAAGGGCGCTGGACTCCCTCATGGCCAACCGCGGTTTGAATCCCAGACCTGGCAGCTTGCTTTCTTACTTTCCTTCTCTCTCACTCGCTCACTCTCTCTCTGTCCTTCTCTGGTCAAATTAAAATAAATGACAAATAAAGTTAAATTTAAAAAAATAGAAGTGACGAGAGCAGCCACTGACATGGTGGTTGTATGAAGGGCCTGTGTAACGTGTGTCACGTCCCGGTGAGAAGTTTCACCACGGAAGCTGCAGTTCCATCGCTCACACAGAGAGCTCTGGTCATTGGTAACGAACAGGTAATGTCATGTTAATGACCCTGACTAATAACCACTTATTACTAACCGTTTATTAATAACCAAGTATTAATGACTCCTAAATAATTACTAGTTAGAGTGATTAACAGTCGCCACCCTAACAACTCCAACATGTGATCGGCTTCAAGTAAGAGAAAGTCACTCCTTGCTCCTGCTGCAGTCAGATGCAGGTTGGCGAGGGCTTTCATCTGTACAGAGACTCAGACTTTTCCACCTTGGGTTTTGGCTTTCTTCTAGGTCCTTGAAGTCCTCTCCATGGAGGGGAGGAAGGACCATGCATGGGAGTTTGCTTGAGGCGGGTCTAAGAAATGCACAACCCTCTCACTCGCATTCCCTGGGCCAGGCCACGTCTCACTTCATGTCTTGACAGCACCAGAAAGTGAGAAATCACCACACCCCCACCCCACCCGGGTGGAGCCCACCTAGCACCAGCAAGCACCCGGCAGGTCTGTGATGGTGTCCACAGATGATTTCAGCCTTCAGCTGTTAAAGTTTTCCAGTTGTGGGACCAGCAATTGGCGTAATGGCTATGTTGCTGGACTCCCATGTAGTTGACTGTGGTTCGTGTCCCGAACCCGATGACTTAAACTCACACGGGGCTCATGTGCGTGCGTGCCCAAGATCCCTAGAGGAGAATGGAGGAGAAAGAATTGCGGTACGCTATGGGGGTGGGGTGTGGTGTGGTGATTTCTCACTTTCTGTCTCTCCGTCTATCTTTCTGGTGAGCACATGCACCCTATAGCAAAAGAAACACACACACACACACAACAAAACAAAAATCTCTCCAAAAAAATAAGTAAATAAAAAATAAAATTTTCCAGTTCAAGTCCCAGATTGAGGAACAGAGATAAGCCACGCTGCTGTGCACTGAATGACTCCCCTCAACTGCGTAAGGTCTAATTACTTCAGTATATGTATGTGGAGTCCCTTAACCACCACACCACCTGCTGGTCCCAGTCAGTTTCTTTTCTATATTATTCATAATATTTCTGTGTCTCTGACCCAAATCTGACTGATTCAAACTATGAGCTTTTTTTTTTAGAGTTCTGCCATAGGGTAAGTGTACTTGCTGGAGAGAGGTAGGGAGAAAATGAGTAATCACCCCCACTTAGGGGCTGGCCATGCCACGATCCCTTCTCCTCCACTCTCCTCCCAGGATTTTGGGCACACATGCACACATGCCTGGCATGTTTCTCAAGTTCCAGGGTCAGGACCTGAACCACAGAGTCAGCCATGTGGGATCCAGCACCTTAACCCTCACACCACCTGCTGGTCCTACAAACCGTGAACTTTTGCAGATCATAATTACCATTCTGAACGGTACAGGTGCCATAAATGTTGAGCGCTTTCAACTCTTAATCATGGTCGGTGACCTTTTGATCCCACATTGATTTCACTGGCAGTCGTAATCTACTCGTACATGTATATTTTTATTCATTTACTTACAAGACAGGGCTTACTGGGTAGCAGTCCTCCTGCCTTGGCCTCCCAGCTGGGTTGACAGGGTCCCACCACCATGTCCGGCTCTTTCCGGCAGAGTCTTGCTGTGTTACTCAGGATCCTGCCTCGGTCTCCCCGAGCTGCTGGGACTTAGGCACACACCAACACGCCCCGCCTTTGTGTTCAGCCAGGAATCCAGTCTCGGCCTTCAAAGGTCCTGGCTGGTCCAGCAGAGTCTTGGCAGTGTGCACCTCTGTGGCTGGGCCCTGTTTGTCGTTTCTGTTGAAATAATAAATCTATTTTTTATTCCAGAAGTAACGACCATTAGGCTTATTTTAAACAGATTCTTATTTAGCACCAAAGGCTTTTCCAGACTGCTGTGACTTTAAATAGTATTAGTATTAATATATTTTTTAAAATTCTCTCTCAGATTCAGAGGTTTTTATTTATTTTTTAAAGAATTATTTATTTAATTTTCTTTTTCTTCTTCATTTTTTTTATCAGAGAGAGATGCACACACATAAAGAGAGAGAGAGAGAAAGAGAGGGAGAGTGAGAAAGCAAGCCACCAGGTCCAGGACTTGAACCACAGTCGACCATGTCGGAGTCCAGCACTCCAATCAGCATGCCACCTGCTGGCCCCGAGGTTTTTATCTATTATACTTGAAAGGAATGTTTGAACACTGCTGTCTCTTTATCCTGGGTGTTTTTCTGTTTGTTTGTCATAGGGCTCATGTATTTGCCAGAGAACTACAGGGAGAGAGACAGTGAGAGGGAAAGCGAGAAATCACCGCCCCCCCCCCCAGGAGGGATGGCCACATGGCAATCCCCTCTCCTCCATTCTCCTTCTGGAATTTTGGGCACGCCTGCACACATATCTGGTGTGATTTTCAAGCCACCAGGTCTGAGACTCAAACCGCAGTTGACCATGTGGGTTGAGTGTTCATGTTTAACAGTTTTCTGTAAGTTCTAAAATTTTTAAGAAAACAAAACCCTACACATTTTCTATCAGTATCCTAATGCACAAACACAAAAATCAAACAATAGCTAAGCTATTGAGAACCACTGAGAAGTGAGTCATCTGAGGGTAAAGAGAAGCTGGTCATTCCTCTAAAGCAGAGCGCCGGGGGAGGAGGAGCGCGGCAGCGAGCGAGCATGTCTGCCAGGACGCGGATCGCACTCATGTTTCTCAGAGGTCGCTATTTTAGGAGCCTCATTCATCAATGTTCATGAAGTTAGCCCAGCAAGTTTATATTATAACTTATATCTATAAATAATTAATTTCACTATTTATTATCATTCGCCTTCTAGTTGGTCACTGCAGTGTTTCACTATTTTAATCAACTGTCATGATCTTCTCGGGGTACACCTGCTTAGTGGCCGTGCTTAGCAAAGTGCCTGCCACCGCGGAATTGGATCATTAAGTTAGCGGGCCTTCCCTCCTGCAATTTTCCATCTGGAATTAAAGCCGGAGGGACCAGGAAGTGGCTCAGTGGCGACACAACTGAACCGACACGGGAGAGGTCCTGGGTTCATGCCCGGGGACCTTGGTGAGCATGGCAGGTGCACGCTTGTGTGCCCGTGGCCTGCACCAGCTGAGACTGGGGTGGACTGCTCACAGCGTGGAAACGCACTAGTACGTGCATGGTGCTCGCGGCACGGAGGAGCTGGAGGGCTGGGGCACAGGGGCCGTGGCACGATGAGAGCCGTTGCGTCTCTTTTTCTCTCTCTCGCACGATGCACACACACTCTCTAATAAAAGCCGGGTGGTGGCTCAGCAATTGCACGACTGGACCCACGTGGTAAAGGTCCTAGGTTTGGGTCCCAGCACCTCCTGGAGCATCCCCAGCGCATGTGTGCATGCACGTGCCCGTGATCCGGGCTGGCTGAAGCTAGGAGTCGATTGTGGTGTGAAGGCCCTGTTGGGCACGCCTATCTCTCTGTCTCTGTTTCTCTCTCTCATGGAAGAAATAAATAAACTTAAAAGAAAAAAGACCCCACTGCAAAAGGGCGGGATGAGCCCCACCTAGAATGAGCCTGAACAAGGTCCCTCGGACCCAGATAAAAACCGCTTACCGCAGTTCATCCTTGGCAACCCGTGTTCCGGGACCCCTCCCTTCTCGTCAGCTCTGTTTTCCCTTCCCTCTCCTTCTGTAAACTTCCTGCTTTGCTATCCCCCGCACCCCAAAAAAAGGCAGAATCAAATGTGAAAAAATTGCTCAAATTAAAAATTCCAAGTTGTAGCAAAGCTGCTGTGCGGAAGTGTGAGGAAGGCTGCCTCTCTGTGCTCTGCCTTTTCCGGAGACCAGTTTGATAATGCCTTACGTCACTAACTAACTACACTCTGACAGCTGGTCACATTGGTTACCCTGGGGAGGGAAACGGCTGGCCGGAGTACTCGTGGGGAGGGCCGAGGAGGGGAGCACAGAGATCTCGCTGAGAAAGGAAGGTCAGGCTTTTGTCCAGTCATGGCTACATCGCTCATGTCACTCACCGTGTGACCTTGGACAAGTCACCAAACCTCTCTGGTTTGCTCCTTTGAAAACTGGGCTAAGGCAGGAGGCCACTGCGGCGACCCTGGAGCCACGTGGGAAGGGCCTGGATTCCACCCCTGAGTCTACCTGAACATCTGGCACACCTGCGTTCCCTGATCCTGGCTGGCTGGAAGACTATTTCCGACTCTCCAATTCACTCTCTCAATAAATAAACAAACTTGGGCTGAGGCAGAAGCACTTCTACCTTGAACTTTGCTTTAAACTTGCTTCCTCCTTTGGCCGGGAATAAATAGAGCAGTTAATAGTCTGTCTTTGCTAACTAGCCCGAAACCTTTTCGTTTAGTTGTTTCTTAGCAATGTAATCACCAATCGCCAGACCCCAGCCTGGAGCCACAGGAACCACTAAATCAGGTCTGGAGAGCGCCCTTAGAAATGATTAACCTGCTTGACTTGCATAGGAACTCACTCCCTTTCGTCTTCACCCCCTCCTCAGTTTCCACTGTAATCACCACATCAACCCGGAATTTTTTTTTTTTTTTTTTGCCTTTATAAGCACCCCTCTCCTTTCACTCGGGGCTGCAGGGTCTTTGAGAGACACCTCTCATAAGCTTCTGGCAATAAACTCCAATAATTTGGCTGTGTCTAGATGCCCTCTTATTTCTCACTGATTTGACTTCAACAGGGTTACCAGGTGGCATAATGGTTAAGGCTCCAGACTTCCACATGACCAACACTGTCCAGGTCCTGGACCCAGCAGTTTGAAAATCATGCTAGGTACTTGTGCATTGTGCCCAAAATCCCAAGAAGAGACTGGAGAAGGGATTGCTGTGTGACCATCCTCCCTGGGGGAGGGGTGTGATTCTCACCTCTCCTCTCACTGTCTCTTTCTCTCTGTCTCCAATGAGCATATGTGTCCGATGGCAAAAATCTTTAGAAAAAAAAAACAGAAAAAGAAAGAAAGAAAAAAAAGTGAAGCTAGCTCTGTGGCCTAGTGTTGAAAGGAGCCAGATCCTGTGCAGTTGAGTGTGCAGTTCAAATCCTGGCCCTG